GAAGAATGAGACTGCACAACTGATTTTTTTTATTATTTTTTTTTAATATTGATTGAGGGCTCTACACGTTCACTAAATTCCCATAGAGCAATATAACAAAAGCGAGTCTTGTGGAAAAAAGAATTGTATAATTTCATTTTTTTCATATATGATACTAGAACATGTAAAATTGTAAATCCAATGAAATATTCTGTTGAAATTAATCATAAGAATTAAGAGTGATAAGGTTAGCGAAGGGGAATAAGTGTTTAACATGAAAGTGAAACCAAGGTGTCATTGAGTAGTATGTTTTCACATGTTTTTGTCTAAGTGACTAATTTTATCCGGTTTATTTTTCTCTTTTCAAACATTAATTTCTTTAGAGTGGAAGAACAAGTCTGGGGGACACAATTTACCGCTACATGTATGCTGCAGACAAGTTTTCACCTGATCACCTTCTTGACTGTCTCAAAATAAGTTCTGAACATGAAGCACTTGAGCTGGCAGATAAGGTTGAGTCTTCAATGTTCACTTGGAGGCGCAAAGCTTGTCTGAGCCATTCAAAAACATCATGGAACAAAGTTAAGGATCTCATGGCTGACACAGACCGAAGTGACAAAAACTTCCTCTTAGCTGAGAGAGCCGAGACTTTGTTGTTTTGCTTGAAGCAAAGATATCCTGAACTTTCACAAACATCTTTAGACACATGCAAGATTCAATACAACCGGGTACGTTTATCGTGTTTATGCGTGTATAAATTCATATCTTATGCAGCAATCTAATTGAAAAATACCAGGAAGACATTACAGGTCATTTATACAAATGTAGAACATTTTAAGGACACCATGTTGTGGGAAATGAACAACACAGAAGACAACTAGGACATATCTAGATTGTGAACTTGTGGACTAAGAATGGTTATTATCTTCTGCAGGATGTAGGGGAAGCAATATTGGAAAGCTACTCAAGAGTATTAGAAGGCTTAGCATTCAACATTGTAGCTTGGATTGAAGATGTTCTTCATGCAGATAAAACAATGAGGAAGCAGATTGTATAGAAACCATAACTGGGTTGTACACCAGCACCCTAACACCAGTGCTGTTTGCATTAAAAGCTGTTCATTTGCATCTGTATGACAACTAGCTGTGTTACAGAAAGAGTTTTTTCACATTCGGTTGAAGGATTAAGCATAATTTATATAATCTTCTGTTCCATAAATAAAAGAAAAACTGTTATATCAGTGTAGTTGCCTGATTTTGAATCTGGTTAATTCTCTATCAGAAGTGGCAGGAGTTAATGTTATACACAAAATGATTACTTATTAGAAACAATCAATATCGACAAAGTTTATAAAATTGATGGATGCACAGCTTTAAAGAAACGTGTGCAGGAAGAAATTCTCGTAAAAGGATCTCCCAGTGCAGCAGAAATCAGATTTTTATTAGCCCAAACAATCTAAAAAACAAATACATGAGACGAATTTATTTTATATTTTATCTCCTCTCCTAGATGTTGGGAATTTGTTAATGATTTTTTTTGGGATTTCTTTTTGGCTTCACAAATCTTTTTATTTATAAAGATGTTTGGTTTACAGTGGTCATTATAATTTAGCCTTGTAAATCAATGTATTGTTCTTCTGTTAATGTTAAGTTGGGGTGTTTTTCAATCCATGAACCATCCAAACCTTGCCAACAAATGGTGCCAGTACGTGGGATTCCAAATATATTTTTTTCATTTATTTTTTTATTTTCTTTTTACTGCATAATTTTTTTCACTTAAATTTAGAATAGTGAAATTCTTCTAATACCTTCTCTTCTTTGACTAGAGTCAATAGTAATTTCTCTCAGAATTCTTAATCTAGTAAAGAGACTATATTTAGACATTTTTAAATATTCTTTCTCCTAAAAAAAATATTGATAACATGGTGTCTTTCAAATTAAATATTTAAAAAATAGAGCTAAATAAAAAGATAGTGGTGCCAATAAAAGATAAATAAATAAAAAAGAGATAAAAAATAATTTAACCTAATGTAATACATTCTTCCCCCTTTTCTGGCTTTCCTATTCCGCAAAGATCCTTCTACTCTCCTCACGTTTGAAGATTAGGGTTGTTGCTGTTTGCTCCCATGAACGGAACCTTCATGCGTTAGGGTGTTGTTGCAACTTGCAACTCCTTCCGGGCTTCACAAAATTGCTTCCGCAAGAATCACGGTGCGATTCTTCTCTAATTCAGACCCGATTCACGGTGCGATTCAAGCACCAAAACGATTCGTATCGTCAAATCGTTGTTTTTTTTAATTGTTTTCTGCTGCTGATTTCTTCTCTTTCATTAATATATTGCAGGTTATAGGTTGTGTCCTTGAAGAAAGATTCGAAGCCATAAAGAAAAAAAAAATTGTTTCAAATGGCGCTGGTTGTGATCTGTGGGCAGCCAAGCAGTGGGAAGTCCAAAGCTGCCATTTTTCTGGCTGAAGCTCTGAAAGAATCAGAATCAAAGCTTCAAGTGAGGATCATAGATGAAGCATGCTTTCATCTTGATCGAAACCAAAGCTACGCGAACATGCCTTCGGAGAAGAATCTAAGAGGGGTGCTCAGGTCAGAAGTGGATAGGTCCCTATCCAGAGACAGCATCATCATAGTGGATTCCTTGAACAGCATCAAGGGCTACCGGTACGAGCTATGGTGCTTGGCTCGCGCTGCCGGGATCAGATACTGTGTGCTTTACTCTGATGTTGAGGAAACCGTTTGTAGGAAGTGGAATGAGGATCGCAGGGAGAAAGGAGAAGCCTGTTATGATGATTCAATATTTGAGGATTTGGTGAGAAGGTTTGAGAAACCAGATAGGAAAAACAGGTGGGATTCTCCGTTATTTGAATTGTGGCCACACAGAGAAGGGATAGAGAAATCTTCCCCTGCCATTGTAGATGCTGTCTCGTATTTGACCAAAAAGGTGGACTCCAAAACCCGGGATGTGAAGATATTGCAGCCAACTATTGCAACTCAAACCACTCGTTTTTCTGATGCAAATTCTCTCTATGAGTTGGACAAGGCAACACAAGAGGTCACAAATGCTATAGTAGAGGCACAATCTCATGCTCTTGGTGGACCACTCAATGGAGTTTCTGTAGGGAAGGATTTGCCTACAGTCAACATTTCAAGGGCTGTTGGGCTGCCAGAGCTTCGCAGGATGAGACGAACCTTCATAAAGTTGACAGGGCAAACGAGTTTAAGTGGGCCACCTCCTCCTTCTGATTCTGAGAGTGCAAAAAGAATGTTCATTGATTACTTGAACAGGGAGCTAGGAACATCCTGAAGACAAATATGTGGTAGTCTTGCAATTCAGTTTATATATGTGCTAAAGTTTGTCATGTTTGTACCATTAGAGATCTTGAGCTGTTTTGTTTACTTAGCATTATTATTGAATAAGCTGGTTTTTTTTAATCCCCTCCAACTTAATTAATGTGTGTAGGGTATTATGAGATAACTAAGAATTAGGTGAGAAATAGAATGGGAGAAATAAGGTGAATAGAAATAGGTCAAAATTAGAATAGAATAGGAATGTTTAATTTAGGAGAAAAAGAATTAGGAAAGAGAAAAATAGAAGAAAATAAAAGATATTTAAAATTAATTTTAAATTAAATAATTGATTCATTTTATGATTTAATGGATTGAAATTTGGATTAAATCGATTAAGTGGAAACTTTAATTGATTAAATCCATCAAATCAACGTTTTCCAGCGAAGGAGGTAGTTTGTAATTGATTATTAATTATCTTTAATCAGTTAAAATGGTATTATGTGTTACTGTGGTTTTCCACACCAGAAATTCAGACATTGAATCTGTCACCCTAAACTGCAGGAACAGTTATAGTGCTACCTTCTACTGGTGACATTTTTTTTTTTATGAGTTAATCATTTGTATACTATTAATGTAAAGTTTTTTATATTGATAACCAATCAAATCTTTTAAATTATTTTATTTTATTTAATAAGCAATTGACATGATTGGTTACCGTGTAAGTATACTGGTGATTAACTCTTTCTTTATAGCAATAATTCATAATAAATTTTCTGTTGGTACTAATTTCTTAAACAGCAAGTGCCCGAGGCTTCTTTAACAGTTGGTACTAAATTTTCTGTTCGTACTAATAGCGTGTTTGAATTCGCACATCTCGCTGAATTTGACGCGAAAGTAACATATAAAAGCTTCTAATTTTTACGTTTTGGACGCACGTTAACTTCAATAAACGTGAATCCAAACACGCTATAAGAGTGTGTTGGAATTCAGTTTCAACTGAAACACGTACACTTAAATTATAATACCATGATCCCACTCAGTATCAGCTGGCGTACATATGCCAAGGGGTAAAAGATGCCAGCAGGTATGAGTTCCACAGTATAAATAGATGTAGAGGACCCGGGCTTTCAAATATAACCGAAGAACCTTTACTCTTTGAGCTAGATTTCAATTTGGATACATTACCGACATGAGTCCAATTATCCCTTTCAATTTTTGTTTTATTATCTAAATGAACAGCTTGAAGCATATATAGCTTGAAAATATCCATGCGGAAATCATGCAAGTTTTATTCAGTGGAGGACTCCTCAAGAATTTTTTTTTTTTAAACAATTCTATCCTCATTGGTATTTTTGCATAAGTAGGGAAATAGCCTAATAGACTATCCTCACCTAACGAATATCCAAATATACATTATTGACCCTTTAGATTAAGATGGACAACTTAATTATTCTCTTATATCAATTAAAATAACTATATTTTATTTTAAGTAGTGATATATGTATAATAATTCATACAATTATAAACTATTAATACATTTTTTGTGTGTTTATCTCTATTCACTTCATTTATTCTCTTTTTTATCTTTTAGTTGTAAAATATGTTACACGAATATTATTTTCATTTTCTTTTTTATTTTTATAAGTATTTTTCTTTTGAAAATAATCATGTTTGAAATATCTCTGTACACTAAATATGAATATTTCTCTTAATAGAAATTTTCAACCTTGGGTACCAAATTGTGTGAAATTAGTCCATTTCATTATACCCAACTTCTTTCGATAAATTGACAACATTACGAAGCATTAAATATTACTTCATAACTCATAATATGATTATAAAGAAATGACATTTCATGCGCAAGTATTAAAATTTGAAAAAAAAAAAAAAAAAAAAAGAAGAATGAAAATGTGATATACTCGTTATTACCAATCAAACTAGTAATTATAAGGAGTAAACATTTAATCTAGTCTCCTAAAAAATGATTGAGGAGACCGATAGGTGTTTTGAAAATTTTTTGTAACATTTGGATCCCCAAATTTTTACTATTTTGTGAAAGTTAGTTCTTCCATTATATTTAGTTATCAACTTTATTAGTTTCTTGATTTGTCAACAGTTAAATCCGATACGTTTTCTTTTTTGCATTTGGTTGTTCTCTTTTCTAATCACTTAATATTGATTATAATGTAAGGTTTTGATACTTTTCATTCACCAAAATACACTTTGTCATGTTTAAATTTGGTCATGATGCTTTGATTAAAATGGAAGATTGTTATTGAGTTTCATAGAGTTTTTGTAATTGTTGAATTTTTCTATCTTAATCATCCTTAATTTCTTTGTTTGTCCTAACTGCAAGTTTAGGATTGTAAATTCTAAATTATTGAATTTGGAATTTAGTAAAATGAGTGGTTGTTATAAAGGATCTCAAGTAAGAATGTAACAAACTAACAATCAAATGTGTATTTTTGTTATATTTAATGAATCGCAAAACTCCTTTAATAGAAGTGGAGAAAAACTTAATAGTAATGGTTCTCTCCGTTATTGTGAACTCTGTTGAGGGTTTCACGAACAACCAAAAGGCTAGAAAATTATTTTTTTCATTTGTCTTTTGCCAAGGATATGATAGTTATGTTATTGATGTTTAGGTTTTTTTTTTAGTTTTCTTTATTTTTAATGGTTTGACATTTAAGATTTTTTTTTCATTGGTCTCGCTCAGATCAATTTTGCAAGTGAAATAGAATATGAAAATGAGAAAGTGGGAAAAAATAAATCATTCAAATGTCACTTTAATTATTTTAAAATTAAATTAACAATTAAACCTTACTTTGTCAATTGTCTAAATCTACTTATTTGTAACGATTTCATGTCAATTGGGAGAAAGAATATGTGTCAACAATTGACACTTAACTGTTAACCGTTCAAGCAACTAATAAAGTTAATAAACAAGTATAATAAAAGAACTAACTTGTATAATGAAATTAAAATTTAGATACTCAAATACCACAAAAAATCTTTCAGGGATCTATCAACCATCTCTACTATCTTTTAGAGACAAAATTGGATGTATACTCTAATTAAAAGTTTTAAAAACCAACCATGCAATGAAAATTTGTTCACATTTTCTTTAGTTTCAAATAAAGCAATTTGCATTTTCTTATGGCCCTAATGTCACGGTTTCATATTTCTTCTTCCCTTGTAAACTTCAATAAGCTTAGTTCACACTACATTATCTCCAAACTTGTACATTCAAATATAGATTAACCAAAAAAGAAAGACTAATTTACAAAGAAGTAATGATGATGATGATATTAAAAACACCAGCTAATATGATCAGCATATCAAACTTTACAAATCTAGAACTAAATACCGTTGGCCCTTACCGGGTGAAGTGAAGCACACACAGAATAAAACTGTTAACTTTTGTCGTTGTAAACAAGACAAGCATCGTTTGTACTTTAGCAAGAAGCAGTTGCAACTGGCTTCTTATTTACTTATAGTGACTTGTGGTCCCTTATCTAAGTATCCTCACTCACCATGAACTATAAAGCCTAAACACCATAATTAATCTCCTTCAGGCCATGAAATTATTTAACACTGGAGAAGTCAGACATGACCAAAGAGAAATGTTATGCTACCAAATATGCTTTAAAAAAGCCTACAATTCCCCAGTATTCTTTGCCTCCCTTCCACATCTCATAAAGGAATTTGAGATGTGACCATGAACAAAAAGTAGTGAGTTGTCTTTTACACATTTTTGCTGTTTTCATTGTCCCTGTATTCAATTTGAAGATGAGAACATTCACTTTCTGGACTTTTGCTTACACAGCTTAGTATTGCATCTTCCATCAGATCTTCAAGAATGGCTTCCCCTATTTCAGAACCAATTGTTTCAGCTTCATGTCTAAGGTCCATCCATGCCCCATTTTTATCCATGTCTTTCTTGACAATTTTGTCCAAGGTACGTGGCGGGGGCAAGGGAAGGAAATCCCAGCACACTCCTTCCCAGACCTTGACAATGACCTTCTTCATATTCGGAGTAGGCCTTATGCCAGGACTTGCAAATGACACGCAAGGTGAGACGCCAAAGTAATTTTGACAAACCCCCGTGAGAACTTCATTGATGCAGTCATATATGAGCTTCTGATCATGGCAAGGCTGGTTTGGTAAGAACTCTACCTGATCAAACAAGGAAGGATCTAGTATCTTGTCTGAGGAAAGGCATTTCATCAACAATTGATCTATAGTCAATCCAGAGGCTTGCAGCGCTGCTTTGATGTAATCATATATCAATTCATTTTCTTGAAGACAATGTTTTTCTCTGTTGATTTGATTCAAAGGTGCAGAATATTGTTCTTCGAATTGCAGTGGACGTGCTGGTACTTCAACTGAAAATCATGAATGAATGTGATGCCTGATTAAAATTAATATGGCTAACAAAAGGTATGTTACATTGCTATATATTATGCTGATTGGTCCCTCAATATAATTCTAAAATTTTACTATCTCCAAGGACAAGAAAGGACAAAAATATGAAACTGAACTACTAAGTTGAAAACTATCAATTTCTAGAACAATTTCAGGATAAATATGGTTTAGATTTTAGAGCTCCCCAGTAAACAGCATGCTGCACTCTATTTCTATTTCTGTGTTTAGTAAACAGTTAGAGACAGCAGATAGAACCACTGGAAACTAGTTTTTAAATATAGCTTTTAGAAAGAGAGTTTAACTGTTTAAGAAAACTATCATATATGATAGACTTTTCATGGTTTTAGTGCAGGGCAGCTTACCAGGTTGAAATCTGGAGTAGTCAGGGTTGACATCATCCTCTAAGAATGGTGTGTCAAGAACAGATACGGGACTTGGTCGCCCAGACACCTCTGTAGCACTTTCTAGCTCTTCAATTTTCTTAGTGGTGGAAGAATGAGAGGGGGATGACAGTGGAGATGTTGGCTTGCTTTCTTCTTTTACAGCCTGTAGAAAGAACAAATGATAGTTCAGAACTAGATAAAGGGTCACTCCACCAAAGAAAAAAGCCATAGAACTACACCGCTATACAAAACCAGTCCTCATTTTGACAACATATGTCTGTAACAATAATCAATTTATTCAAAATCACTTATTTGTGTAAAATTATAATTATAATACAGAAAGAAATACTACCTGCTTTGAACATTGAGAACATTTTTCACAATCAGAAATGTCTGAGACATCATAGTTTTGGTCCTCCTTTCCTGCACTGACACCAACTGGTTCTGAGGTAGATTCTAAGACATTCACCTCTTTTGCAGATTCTATATCATCTGCACAGAAATCACGAAACAAGAAAAGGATAAGCAACATAATAAATAAAAAAACATACACCAAAGTTTATCATAGAATCAATCATTTAAATCATATATTTTGGACATGATACCTTCGGTAACTATCTCATCGCCAATAGGACAAATATTTTCTGCTTTATCAACATTGTCAGAGAAATTGGTGTCTGATTTAATTTCTTGTACTTTATTATTAGAGCTTTCATCACAAATGCTTGAATGCTTCTCTGAATGGTCCATTTCCTGATCCAAATCACCAACAAAAGTTCCTTGTTTGGAAGACACGTTATCCTTATCATCTTCCCAAATTTTATCTGAACTGGAAAATCTTTTTTGTGCTGTCACAAAATGATGCTCCCAATCCCTTCCAGGGCTGCCAAGGGGAGAAAAGCTATACTCAGGAAGAGATAGTATTTTCCCAAGGGTTCTGGAAATCTGCCTACTTGACAAGTCTATTTTCTCATCTCCATTACCTACAATCTCACAAAGATGTTTCTTAGCCTCAATATACAAGTTAGAAATCCTTTGTTTTGGATAAGTACCATTTTCGTGTTCCACAATCAATTCAGAATCTTTAGTTGTACCAGTCTTGTCTCCTTTCATAACACCAGTGGTAGGTCTTGCAATTTTTTCAATGAAGAAGTGATCTTTGTTGGGAGATCTCATTCCAACATTGTCTTTACCAATGGCTTTGCTGCTAGGCCTATTATTTTGACATTCAGCAGCAGGGTGTCTCTTTGAGATCCCTTCAGGGTTTCCATGTCTCTCCCTTCCCATAGCATGCTTTAATTTATTTTTTATCTCTGTAAGGGAAAAATGTGAACTAACTCTCACAGAAGGGCCATTGTATCTGACAGCATCATGAGAATCTTGGGATGAGCTTAGGTTGTTTCCAGTTTCTGAATTTTGCAAGCTCATCTGCCCAGGCTTCAGAATAACAATTCTACTTGACAAATTAGTATCCCCATCTTCATTTTCTGAACCTTTTGACTGAGACTTGATCTTTTTTCTGAAAAAGTTATGCTTCTTGTGGCTGACAGTCTCCCTATTATGTTCCATGTTGCCATGATCTTTTTCAGAGAAGATGGAACCAGTGACACAACCATAATCATTTTCATTTGTTCCCTGGGAATTCCTAAACTCTTGAACACATTTCAATAAAAGAGAATTTGGGTGTTGTAGAAGTGAAAGAAACAATTCCTTATCTGAACTTATAAGTTGGATAGCTTCGATAAGTTGATGGGAGCAAAGGAATTTTCTGGCTTCGGCTGGATCTTTGCCATTTATTATCATCTGATTCACAAATTCACGAATTGCAACTCTTGAACTTTCAGAAATAGCTTGCTTCTGGTTTGATTGTGCACCAACTTCTTCTCCATCATTGCCATGCATCATGGAACAAGCATCTCTTAGATGACAAAACTCTTCAATCATTTTATCCAGATCAAGATTATCTTTAGATTGCTTCCTCGAGTGCTGATTATGTGTGACTTCAGATTTCAAGGTTGCATCCAAATTTAAATCTTTGGTATCCTTATCACAGTTTTTCTTGTAAGATTTCTTTTTTCTTTTGGAATCTAACTTCAAAAGGACTTCACGCCTTAATGTAGATTCCTTTGATTCCATTTGAGCACTATATGTATCCTTCATGGCATTCTGGTCAATGAACATCTCTTCTTCGATGAGTTTCTTCACACTAGGCTTATTAGCAGCAGTTCCAACTGTGTGTCTTCTACTCTCTCCACTGTCCTGAAGCATTCATGATACAGTAATATCAATAAATGCACAGGGCATCCTCCTAGCAGATAACCAAAATTTTCTAACGCCCTAGAATCTTGTAAACTTTTGAAGTTTCAAATTCAAGAGTGATATAAGAATATGGATGGACAGACTTACAGAACTTCCTTGACAAACTTCATCCAAATTGCTCAACATCTCAAACTTGTTCTTAGAATGTGCAACACCTGTGTTAAAAAAATATGGAATTCAATAATTGATATTAAATTTTCTGTGAAACCAGCGTAGTTGTACCACAAGTTATTCCATAATCATTATACACATAAGACAGGAAAAGCTTTTTTCTTGATGACTACGAAAGGTTTCAACCTGAAACCATTACAGAAAATTGCTTGGCATGCAAACATTGGTCCCTGCACAATTACTCTGTATTCATTATAAACTTACTTTGTTATTTATTTAGCATATACAAAGTTTTTAGCGGATATATCATATCATATATGATATATAGATTTGCACATGATCATGATTATCAATTTTGTACCACTCTAGATGTTAGACACAGTTCTTACCAACAGCATGCTTGCTGCTTCGCCTCTTATCTGCAATCATCTTCCTAGTGGAGTGACCGTTGCGAAAATCAAACATACTAATAAAACCCCACATGCAGCCTGATTTATCTTTCTCATACCGCACAGAGCGTCTTTGGGACTTCTTTGCCATGATGATTGGGCACAGTTAACTTCCTTCTCTTTTCCTTTATCTAAGGGTGCTGAGATAGTCTTGGCCTTACTTTGTCATAGTCATGAAAAAAAATTCATAGGCAAGATTGTGCAACCTGACAGATGGACAAAGTAAATAGATGCAGTTAAAAATCAACAAAACACCTTTCATCACTTCCTCTAATGCCTCCAAAACCACATAGTTCATGCATACAACACCTTATCAATGGGATAAATTATGAATTATATATATGCACATCTAACTGATCTCTTTATGCCAACACATTTTGTTAAATCAACTCATGCATGCTAGTGGTTGTAAGGTTTGCTTTGGACATGGGAGATCAACCTGTTACTCTTAGAATAGATAATGTTTGGCCAACAGAAATCACACTTTGTGAGCTCAAATTAATTTTTGATTGTCAATTTTAGGATACTGTATAAACTATGTTCACAGAAAAAAATAAAAATAAATAACAGTAAGACTGTCCATGGAAAAAAAAAATCAACAAATCAACTCATGTTAATGTAGAGAACCTAGTTACATACCGAGAGGAATTAAAGTTAGCCACAGGGTGATCATCAAAATTATCAATTCCTTGGGGCACAAAAGAAAAAACTGAACAGTCGTAGAAAAATAATTAGGAAATATAAGAGACGAACAATTTGGTAGGTTATGCAACTAAAGTGGTTATCAATCTAATCACATGAAAAAGGAGTTTGTTTCAAACAACTACCTCATATGCTGAGCCTTGTTGACTCAATATGGTGAAGGAACAAAATACGAAGATGAAGCCTGAAGAGTCCACTCAGGAAGCATTTAGGAATTCCTGTTTCAGTCCCCCAAGTTCCCAATTGAGTGAAGCTCACGAAGTTTTAGCTTCCTTTGGAGGGAAAGGTATCAATGCGTTGTTCCCAAATGCCTTAACTATCTGAACTGTGAATTTCCAGAGAGAATGCTTAAAATCACAGTTATCTACTCTTGCCAGAAAGAAAAGGCCAACTGAGATAACAATAAGGCCTCGCTTTTACAATTTACAACGAGTCAAAGAATCACACACAGCTCATTGATTCTCCCTTCTTCCAATGAAAAACATAGTCAATGATCAAACGTGATGAAAAAGTTTGATAAGACAGAAAGAAAATATATCCTTAAACACTCTCAAATCCAAATTCCACATTCAACAATTCAAGCAACAAGCAAGACTCGTTACTTCTGCACAACTGAATCCATGCCTGCAATAAATGGCGCATTTATCTCCTCCAACAATTCTGCTACACAAATTAAACTTGCAGAGCATCCAAATTCCATTAAATTCTTCTTACCCACCTGCTACATAAAACACCTACACATAATTCTCTCTATAAATTTACACCATAAAAACCAAAAAGAATTAAAATTCAACTCAATTCCACCACCAACTCATTCCCTCAATTGGTCATCAAAGATTACATTCTTTGAGCAAATTTTCCCACCAAAAAAATCAAGACTTTTTCTCATGGGCATCTCTAAGACAAGGAAAAAGATAAGAAAATGCTAATCTAGAACCGACCCAGGATTTGTTGAGGCATTGAATACATGGAAAAAGTGAAAGAAAGAAAGAAGGAGAGAGAATTGGTGGTGAAGGTTGGGATTGTGGGAAGAAAAATGAAAGTTGAGAGGCTTACACTTTACAATGTTGTTGGGCGACACGAAGAATAGTCATAGTACATGACAGTTGAGGATAGCTAGATAGAGGGACCCACACCACAGATTTTGTTGTATGAAACAAAAACTTTGAGGATGTGTTGTATTTGTGTCTATGTTTTTTCCTTTGAGACTAAGAAATTTCAGTTAACTGAATTATTATCTAATTTCAGTATTTCAAAGATGGAACAGAACAGCATCATGGAAGTAACCACCAAAATGCAAAGAGAGAAAGAGGATTGACGTGTACGCCACTTTTGAACAGGATTCGTGAGCTTTTTAGGCGTTACCAAACTTTGGTTAATAAAAGATACATATAATCATATCATATCATGTGTTTATAAATATATATAGGGAGGAATCCAGAAAATTTATTAAATGGGATAATAAAATATTTTATATTATTTTTATTGAAAAATATAATAATTTTTTGGAAAATATATTTTTATGGTAAAAAATTTTAAATATCTTTTTTTATAGATTATAATTATCTTTATAAATAAAGTAATAAACTTTTTTTCTCTTTTTTCTGATATTATATTTAAATGTTATTTTATAATTTTTTTTAATTTATTTAATATTAGAGGAATAAAATGGTAAAAGTTAATAGGATAAAAATAATAAAATTATTAATTTATTTTTTTAGTGTCTTCTAAATTTCTACCTTTATTTAAAATAAAAATATTTTATGAGTGCAATGTCTATTTTTTTATAAGAGTAATTTTTTTTATTAAATATGTTTAAGTTAAAAAAATTTGTATGACAATTACTCTCATTCCTCTTAATATAAATCCTCTCCTACCAATACACAATATATATATACAAGATCAAAAGGTTAAAAATTAAAATAAAAAATTGAAAAACAAATTACATTAGTAAACTAAATTATGACATCTTTAATGAGTAAAGAAGTAATAAATTTTTTAGTCAAAAAATATAATATATTATAATAATAAAAAATGAGGAGGGATCTACTTATTTTAAGAGTAAGTTTTGATAGACTTACTCCACTTAATCACTTATATTTTACATTAAGTTTCAATGATCTAATCATTCCACTAAAGTCCTTAATGTATAGATCAAATTTATAATTTTTTTAAGAAAATTAAAAATTATTTGATATTTTATTTTATTAATTTAAATTGACGGATAATCATAAAAAAAATATTCTATATATTAATTTGAATGTATCTAACGAAATATCATATCATTTTCAATTTTTTAAAAAATTTATAAGCTTAATTTATATATTAAGAGCTTTTAGTTTAACAATTGAATTTTTAAAAAATTTGTGGTAGAACATTAGTTATTGAGTGAAGTAAGTTTATCAAGACTTACTAATAGAATAAGTAAATCCCTTTTCATAAAAAATTAAGATAATTTTATTACAAAATGAAAGTAGTTAAACAATAAAATAAAATATTAATATATTTTATTATATTAAATATAATAGAATAATTAAAATATAATTAATAATATATATCTTTTAAAATAATATTTTATATAAAAAAGAGAAATGGTAGAATTTTAGTAGGAATGGATCCGTCTCTGTATATATGATTTGTATATTGATTTGTGCGATACTAAATTGATCATTTTAAATGAAGATATTGAATTCCAATCTTATGCTAAAATAATATTGTTGGAAGGGAGAGAACCACTATATGAAATAAGACAAATTTTTGAAAGATTATTAATTGATTTTGTCAATGAATATTTTGATTTTTACATTATATTTTAACAATTTAAATGTTAAATTAATTTTTTTAATGAATTGATAAGTTTATAAATTTTAAAAAAAAAAATTATATGATATTTTATTATGTAAATTTATATCAACTTAGTGGACTTGAATTTGAATATACAAATAAAATTTTGAATTTGAATTTTTATGATGTTATCATAATTTTTTTATATTCATAAAATAAATTAACATTCATATATTATCATACTTTATCAATTAATTAAAATATATTGTTAGATATAAATTTTAAAATAATTAATATAAAAGATAATCAATTTGCTACATGATAATTTGTAGTCAAATTTGATGCATAATTTTAATGATGTTTTCTTGTTTATTTAATTGAAGATGAAAATACAAAGTAAATAAATAAAAAAAGTTTGACTTCTAAAAATTAAAAACAAAAACCCTTTATTTTATTTTATTTTCATTGATTTAAATATATGCTTTCTACTTTCCTTTATCTTTATTCTACCTAACCAAAATGTTGAGTAGGCATTCACATTTATGATCATTTGCAGTGAAATCTTTCTTTATTTACTCTTTTGAATAAAAATAATAGATAAACCAAGATTTTAATATTATTGATTGAGTTCCTGAAAAAAATAAATAGGACTAAATAAAATTTGTAAATTTTAATTTTAATTTTTATAAAAATTTCTTTTATTTTATATCTTTTAAAATTTATAAATATTAATCTTAGTCTCTATATATCTTAATTACTTATTTAACTATTAAAAGGATAAGTGACTATTTTATGGATTACTTATAATTATTAGTAATATCATATTTGTATGCCACATTTGTAATAATTGTAAGATTTTTAAATTAAATATTAGTTATTTATCTTAAAATTATCATTAGAAAACAAAAATAATAAATTTAGATTTTAAAGGGATAAAAATCAAATAAAAATATTTTATAAGAATTAAAATAAAAAATTCAATCATTTTACAAGAATAAAAAATAATATTTACAAATTTTTGATGAAAAACAAAATAAAATTATAAGACTCAAAATTAAAATTCACTTATTTTTCAAAAATAAAAACATATTTAAGTATTTTCATCTTTCATTCAAATTAATTTAAGAATAAATATAATATTACTTATTATTATGCATAAATGAACATATTTGTTCGTAAAGATAAATATCCATAATGAACAATTCTTCGACAGAAACGATTTTTGACAATAAAAAATAAGAGGTGCACCTTAATTAACAACTAATAATTATTAGAGAAGATTTTGTTTTTTTTGACAGCATAAAAGAAGAAATTAGATCAATACTTACGAGATTATACTTTATAACATTACTTTATTTTATTATATATATAACATTTTCGTTTATATTTTCCTAAAGTGCAATAAACCAGCCTCTCTTTCTCTCTCAGTAAACTTTTTTGGTCAAAAGAAATCTAATTATGTGATAATGTGAATCAAAGAAGACATTCATCCATAAATGCAAATTAAAATAAAACAAAGTGCGTAAGTGAAGCTTAATTAATAGATTGTATCGATCACTTTACTTTTTTGGTGTTTCTTTTTAGCACAATCTCGTTCACTATTATTACAATGATTATGTATAGAGTTTTAAATTATTTTTCTTGACACCATATAGAGTTTTGAAATTCGAATTTTGTGTATCATAATAAAGAAGCCTTAAAAGCAAACTATAATAATAAGGTTGATTTGTTTATTACTTTTGAAAATCATTGCGCGTTCATAATATTGAATAATCGTCATGTTCAAGCCAAATTGCAATCCAAATTTTGGACTTATGGCATTAGATATTAAGGGTATTCAGGTAGAAATGATCCAATGCTTTTTAATGTATTTTCCTTTTGAGTAAAAACATTTTTAAGTTTTATTTTTCAGCTTTTGTTCGTATAAAGGCAAAACTACCTTTATTTTCAATAACTTATTAAAATTATGTTTTTTCAGACTTTTTCTTTCAAAAGTATGAGCAGTCCAAAAAGCTTAAGTCAAATGCTACATAAATTTTAAGTATAAAAGGTAGTAATGGACTTGGGAGTGGATACCATGATGTTCCCTACCCCTAGCCACATTTTATTTTTGTGATGACATATGATGCTTGGTACAACATTTTTGCCTTAACATTTGAAAAAGTTAAATGAAAAAGAGTTTTTATAAAATTAAGTTTATAAATTAATTTTAATTTATGTGACTTAATTGATTTTACTTTTTCTTTTTTCAAAGAAGTTTATCCTAATAAAATATTATTATTATTTAGAAATAATATAATCTTTTATGAGTTTTTTTAATTATATTATTAGTATAAAATATTTATTGATTTTGACGATGATTAATTCTTATAAAAAATTTAATTGACTATTTTTAATGTAACTTTTTCTTCCAATCACATTTTTTTAATATATAGACTCGAACTCGTGACCTTATATTTAAAGGGTATTTATAGTTTAAAATAAATCAAATTGTTAAACAATCTAGGATTTAATAGGTGATTCGGAGAAAAGAATATATTTGTTTTTATACACTTAGATGAGATAAACTTTGTAAAACCTTTTTGTAAATTTTATAACAATTTTCACGATTATCAATAATTTTATAAAAAATAAAAAATATATTGATAAAAATTAAATTACTCATGGCCAAAGTTGTCAATAAATGGAAAACATGCTTATGCATTGATACTACCTAGTATTTTCGCCACTTAAAACATGTTGATGCTTCATAATACTATCGTCACTTCATGTTTGTCTTCTATGCATGTTATTTCACATGGAGCTTTATGGTTTATGGGAAAAATATTAAGATGGAAGTGTTTAACAATAATTCTTTTAAAAGAATTGAGGTATGGATGGACTCAATGTTTGGAATTATCTGCTTTGGTACTTATTAGATTTTTGATTATGAACTCAAGAATTTATGATTTTGATTATAATTATAGAGGAACTAAAACTTAATTTCATAAAAGGGTGAAAAACTAAAATCAATCAAAAAGTTGTTGAAGAATTAAAAACATAATTTACACAAAAAAAAATACATTTAACTGCCACATTATCATTTAACAAAAGTGCATGATAGCAAAATTTAAAAAATGCTGACAAAAAAGTCTAGAGATTAAAATTAGTCAAATTTTTATTTAGGGAAGAATTTGAGAAAATTATAGAGAAAGAAAAATATATTTAATTTCATAATGTGTTAGTAAAATTTTATAATAAAAAGCTAATTATCTTTTAAAAAAAAGTCCAAATAATACTATATTTTACAAAATTTTCTTTCAATAATAGTATTTAAACTCACTTTTAACTAAATTTAATTTTATTAAATAAAGCTTACAAACATTCATCCAACATGCACTAAACCACCACCTACTCCCATATATAGATG